CAAACAAGAACAAAGAATGATCAGTAAAATGCTGAAAACTGGATTACCTCAGAGAGAGGAATAGTGAAAGTGTCTTCCGCAAAAGGAGGCTTTTGCGCGATGACTTTATTCATGGCTTTCTGAGGCACCGATAAAGCAGAGCGATTCGACGGAGGTAAGAGTTGATTCACAATTGATTCAAATTTTGGATTGACCACAGAATATTTGTTGGCCGTCTAAAACAAATTATTCTTCATTGACGCATTTGTTGATAAAGAAAAATCTTTTCCGATAAAGAACACAACGAAAGTATGCTCAATTACCGTAAAAGAACTGACCTTTTCACCTTGTGAACTCATCAAATAGAACGCCGATAAAATTGTGGCCATTAAAGCAATCAATAGGAACCATTTAATGTAGAAGAATGCACCCATTATTATCGAAACTATTCAAGAGCTACTAGCTCTGACTGAACGATATTCAATGACTACACCATTCACGCACAAAACAAGATTGGAGTCGTCTATGTAATCTTTCATCCGTTGAATTAAAATGATCGAAAATTATCGCTTATCAGCTACTCCTCCTCTCCGTTCATTTCAATTCACAAAACTGGTTTCGCAAAACAACACGCTAAACAATGAATTATGTCGAGAGTGCAGAAAACATCTCTGAATGTAAACGAATGCATTTTCACTGCCAAGTAGTACCCGCTGATTTGACACCCTACAGTTTCGGTTCGATTTGAGCNAACGAATGCATTTTCACTGCCAAGTAGTACCCGCTGATTTGACACCCTACAGTTTCGGTTCGATTTGAGCAATGAGAACGCGTGACCACCATTTTATGTGGCTATTTGAAACGCACATGTTTGTTCTTTTTACATCCGTTCAATTCACTAGTCGAATTAACATCTGCGATCACTTAAATCTGATCTAACGTATTGTAACACGCGCATAAAATGAATGCGTTTGATTAAATCGAACCCAAATGTACTATGAAGGATTAAATGACCGGGTACTATCTGGCAGGGTACTAATTGTCCGTCACCCTAACAAATGACAGTGTGGCAAACTGACCGAAATTGATAATATAGATGGGAAGTTTTTAGATTATTTTCAATTTTTTCCATGATTCTTGTCAATTTTCGTAAATTTTGAGTGGAATTTTATTCATCGCGATTCCGTCAGTCTTTTTTTGTAACAGTCTCATTTCGATTGCCTGATATGACTTTTTTCCAGGTGACATTGGATCTTCAGCGATTTGTGGATTGACATCAGTGGAAACCGACGGANATATGACTTTTTTCCAGGTGACATTGGATCTTCAGCGATTTGTGGATTGACATCAGTGGAAACCGACGGAGACAGAAAGGGAATAGCTGTCGAGAAGTGCCGTTAAAGTCATATTTAAGAGTGTGTCGGTAGAACCGTCACGTTCTGTAATATAGTTAGGCTGTAAAATGGTTTGTTTAAGAAGACTATTGTTGATTTTTTCATATTTCTCTTTCATATCCTGTTATTTTTCCGCACTGTTATTGTTGGCTTTCGCGCAAAATTGTGTGCTAATATCATTCTTATTCGCGGATTTATTAAATGCGGCTAAGACCGCTGTAGTTTCCTGTTTCAAGCTCGACTCGATGGCTATTTCAGGTATCCGTGGTAACTAAAGTTGATACAGCACATCGTGATATCATTGTAAGTTGATTTGATGTTCGTTACATTCCGAATGGTCGTTTGATTAGAATCGCTCACACAGTCTTACCATGTTATTCAGTTGCATTTTATCGGATTATAAGCAATTTCTGATGTGAACTTGACAAGTTTTTATGGTTTCATTTTTTTTCATTTCCAGTGATTACACTGATGAGATTTCAGCACGATGCGCAGATGAACTATTATGGTACACGACTAGCGACATGTTCCAGTGACCGACTGGTCAAGATTTTTGAGGTATCCAGAGTTCATCAGTGATTGGGCCGCGAGCCATCTGTTTGAATTCTTTATGTTTTGAATATTAAAAGAGATATGAAAATGCTCATGGAACCCTACAGCCTTATCGTGTGTCAATTTATGTTTCGAGCTCAATTCACCGTGAACAGTTTACCGTATAGGCCCATTTCCGTTTTAGTTGAAGCCATCAGGACAAACGTATCCATTGGCTGAATTGAGCGGGCACGATGGTCCAGTATGGCAGGTCGTTTGGGCACATCCGAAGTTTGATAATATCTTAGCATCGTGCTCCTATGACAAGTTAGTCTGTCATATCACTCAATTCCCTAGTTAGGTCATCGCCATATCCACCTTTCTACTTGATTTGTTTCAATAATTTTTTGAATCATTCCCAAATGTTGTCGAGCTAAAATTTCGTTATACCGTCATTGTTTTCTTACGTTTCATCGAATCATGATGATGAGTATTATGAAGCCATATTGAAGTCAAATCATTCCAGGAAAGTGATAATTTGGAAGGAAATATCGGGGAAATGGCAAAAACTCTACGAATGGAATCAGCACGAAGCGAGTGTCAATGCAATCAGTTGGGCTCCACATCAGTTTGGCTTGATTCTAGCGTGTGCATCCACAGATACAACTATCTCACTACTCACTTATGTTCCAGAAACAAACACGTGGACATCGAGAAAAATCCTCAAAGCTCATGAGCAGGTTTGTTCAGCTCAATTTCGGTCCCATTCAAAAAATGCATTGAGTAGAAAGGTTGACTTTGATAGGTGACTGAACGGATTATTTCGCTTATTTGATTGCATTATTTGTAGAGTTTACCGATGAGCTTATTTATAGTTTCGATTCAAGTTCGTATTACTCATTTGTAGAGTTTACCGTTAATTTTTTTTCAAGGGTTGCAATGCAGTTTCGTGGGCACCAGCTATGCATTCTCAATCAATCGTAGAGCCGGAAGCGAGTCCGATGCCCAAAAGATTGGTGTCTGGAGGAAATGATAACCTGGTGAAAATATGGAAGTAAGTTGACTGAAACGAGTTTTATTTCGTTTCAATCAGATGTTGCATATGAACGTTTGTTGTTTGTTGAGCATTTGGAAAGGATAGAGTATTTTGTGAATTTACGATGTTTTGTAATCATCGTTGACTGCACTGTTACGTGCGCATTTCAGGGAGAAAAAAGACGGTACATGGGAATTGGAGCATGCCTTGAAAGGACACACAGATTGGGTGCGTGATGTAGCGTGGGCACCGGCTGTAGCTCAATCAGTCAATACGANTTGAAAGGACACACAGATTGGGTGCGTGATGTAGCGTGGGCACCGGCTGTAGCTCAATCAGTCAATACGATAGCGTCTTGTGGGCAGGTAAATATTATTGTATCGATTTGGAGTTGAATGTGCAGTTGAGTTGTTGATATTGGTTGGGATGTGTGAAGTTTATTAATTCTTTTTAAAGGATCGTAAAGTGATAATTTGGCGTTGTGCAAGTGTCGATGATGGTCAGTGGAGTGCAAAGGAATTATGTGATTTCGACGATGCGCTATGGCACGTCAGTTGGTCGTTATGCGCCAATATCCTTGCTGTTTCTGGTGGCGATAATAAGGTGAGTGTTTGTTTGTGCTCTTGTTGTTATTGTTAGATTTATTACTGAAATTATTAATGCTATTTTTATTGGTTTATCAATGAATATTAATGAATATAATAATATAATTAATATAATGAATATAATTAACGCAGCTGAAGATATTAGTGAATCTAATTCTCCAATATCTTCTGCTGCGCGGAAAGGCGGATGCTAAGGAAGGAAGCATTTGATTGATGAATAATTAATGAATAAGATATAATTTACGGCATCATGAAAGTCTAACGTCGAATATTATTATTATTATTATTATTATTATTANGTGACCAATATCAAAAAAGTTGTTTTTTCTTACCATTTTCATTGGTATCGCAGTCATCAGTATCACAGTTATTGTCCATATTTTTATTGTTACTATTACGAAAGGTATGCGTTGATTTATTCGTTTCTCGTTACCGATTCTAGAGCAATACTATTTGTGGGTTGTTTACTTTCAGATATCACTCTGGAAAGAGAATTTGCAAAATGCTTGGATCCGTATTTCAGAAACAGAAGAAGAGAAAAAAGATGGTTGATTCCGACAAGAGCACATCTGAAATTTATTGTTTCCGTCTTCTATGAACAACTTTTCAATTCTGACTTTGAAATATGTGTTTGTTTCGGTTCGGTGATACACATTTTTAATTGTAAACTATTATATTAATGCTATTGATTGATTGTTGTTATTGTTATAGTTGCTGTCATTGTCATCATGATCGTAATTGTTGTAATCACCATCGCTGATTATTACGATATTCCGTTTGATTAACTGTTCACTGGTTCAACAATTGTTTTTGTTCGTAATGTTATTGCAAAAATTTTTTTGTGTTCGTCACAAATATCATTATTATTATTATTATNCAACAATTGTTTTTGTTCGTAATGTTATTGCAAAAATTTTTTTGTGTTCGTCACAAATATCATTATTATTATTATTATTATGCTGCATAAATTGTTCACTTAATAGCGCTTTCATTTGGATGACAGCAATTGTTTGTGTAGAGTATTTGATCGCGTGAGATGATTGTTTTGATGAAAATGCGTAAGATATGAATCAGCTCTATTCTCTGTGCGAGTTGGCTCGTTTTCACATATCAAGCAATAGACTGAAATAATTTATTCACGTGTTATATCAATTACAAGTTGTTGTTTGAATACGACTGAATACTACTTTCAAGATACATACAAATGATTTTGTACACCAGCAATATGTTTCCGTTTGTTCTTGTCCTGTGTAAACCATTGACCTTGTATTGGTTCGGGAATCTTCGAAGGTGTTGGTCAAGATTTGGAAATTTATTGTTCTGGTTACTTCAGCTTAACGGATAATCCATTGTCTCAGGGCTTAGTTTCCGATTAAGGTGCACTGACGATGAGTGTGCAGATAATTGAATCGCTTGGCAATATGCAAGAATGAACTAGTGCTCATTGAATGATTGGTTGTACGGGTGTTATGACGACCATCGGTACGACGGTCTTTTTCTCCAACCGCTTTAAACCGAGCATTTGATAGACCACTCGTCTGATCTGAATTTGCAAAAGATCTGAGCGACTGGTTAAGGAAACTTTTTGTGGGAATGATTCCGAAACTGCTAAATATAATATATAATATTAGATACACTGGAAGAAATTTCGGTTGACACCTCTAATTGCTAAGAGCGTTTTTAATGTGATTGTTAACCTTGAACCTGTTCAAGTGCACATTTGAAAGTGCTCAATTGCTCTCAAAGTGTCATTTTAAATTTAAAAAAAAAAGAGCCTCCATTAGATCATCTACATTCGAATTTTCGATGTTAGGCAATAAGAGTGGATGGAGAAATTGCCTGCAGATTGCCAGTGAACATCACGAAACCAGCCGTTGACGAATTCATAATGTAAATTTGTGTGACCATCGCCAGAAAACATGGAGATGATGTAATTAACGGAATTATTCTAAAATTTACAGCAAAAAAATCATCTTTTATGGTACATATTAGACTGAAATTTATTCAATATGTTTTCAAGATCAGTGGTGTTATAACGAATGGAGACGATATAATCACACGAATCGTACTGAACATTCATATTAGTGAATGAACCACAGAAATGACAGAC